ATAAATATTGTATGATCTTACTTTTAAGAAATATCTAGAATGAGCAGGTGTATAGAGATTAAATGTTAGAGGTTATCAAGGACGGATGAGACAGAGAAGGAAAAGAAGACACAGCACTTGAGGTAACACTACACTTCGGTTAAGCGACAGAAGAATTTGAGAACAGTTGATGATGACAGATAATGGTTGCAAACATAATTAACATAATGTTACTGAACTTTGTATGTGAAGACTTGCTGAAATGGCAAATATTTTGTTAACTTGTAGGTAGGTACTAGAATTAAAAAACTAAAAGATTAAAATCCAGGTTAAAATTAGAGTCTTGTGCTCCCTAGCCCCAAAGCAGAATTCAAAATCAAAGAGATTCCAACTGTAAAATAAATGTTAATAAATTAGAGACATTTAAGTCCTTGTTCCCAAACAGAATAAGTGTCTAAGAATAAAAAACTGTTTTATGGGGGGGGGGGGTTCACTCTTAGTTAGAGGCCCTAAACATATATTCAATCTGCCTTTTGACTAATCCAAAATTGCTCACAACTACAAGATTCAAAGCTTAGATATTTCTTTCAGCCATGCTGCCATTCACCGAAGCAAGCAATTCCATAACATTTTTTTAATTTATTCCTTTCATTGTTATATATAGATAACAAAACATTTAAGTCATCCAATTTCACATCTTTTTTTCTTCTCCCTGCCTCTTTTTAAACATTCCCTCTGAAAGGACTATCTACTTAGCTTTGTATCCAAAGACAAAATCTGTAGGTGAAAGGAGTTAGCCTTCGTTACAGACTGGTTCATTTCAGGGTCGAAAATATGGAACGCTTCACGAATTTGCGTGTCATCCTTGCGCAGGGGCCAAGCTAATCTTCTCTGTATCGTTCCAATTTTAGTATATGTGCTGCCGAAGCAAGCACCAATTTCACATTTTAATGAACTGAAATATAAGTTTAAAAATCATGAAACAACTAATATGTCTTTTCCCCATTCCCATCCTCTAAATCCTACAGGTTCTAAATCAACATGATTGGTTCCCATTGTCCACTCAGATTCACCACAGCACTTAGCAACTTATTTTGGGTTTTTTCGCCCCTATGCTTAACACCACCTTTTTACCATCCCAACATGACTAAATTTTACTCTTTTAAAAAGAGAAACTCACTGCCTTAGCTGGAACCACCTCAGAACTGATCTTACAGTGGGTTTTTTCAGGAGGGTGTAAATTGCACAGGAAGAGACTGCCCATCTCTCTCCCATGGACCTGCTGGTGGACTTGAACCACCAGAGGTACCACCCCTCTGTTAGCGTAGCCTGTGAACGTGTTACACCATTAAAGTGCACTTTTCCTTTTAGCAGCTCTAATCTCTCACCCTCTCTGCCCCTCCATGCCCAACACTGCCTTAGTGCAGGTCTAACCAAGTCTCACCTTGAACCTTATTACCAACATAACTGGTTTGCCAGACTCCAGCTTTTACCCTTTTGATCCATTTTTCACACCTGGGTCATTGTCCTATTTCCACAGGCTATCAACTCATTCTCCTGCTCAAGACCCTTCAGTGACTCTGGCTTACCCTTAGGAAATATGCAAATCCCCAGAGCCTCCCATACCTCTATGTAACCTTTTCTCAAGGCACTGCTCACTGTACCAGAAAATTTTAGCCAACTACTAGTCAGCTATAAATCTTCTTCATTTGACTATGCAGGTCATCTTTGGATTTCCTGTATACAGTTCAAGGTGGCATGAAGGAAATACATAGGCAATAGTTACTAATGGTAATTTAAATGCCTGCTGGTCAGAAGACAGATGTGCTTGCTGCGACCACAATCTGAAAGCCCATTTTTTCCACTATATTTCATCCTCTTTAGAATCCCTGAAGCATAACAATACTTAACTTGTTGAATGTCCCTCTTTGCCTCTATGAATTTATTAAAGATCTGACTCTAAATGCAAAAGGAGGACTATGATGGAGGACAATCCAAGTCAGAGGGTGGTAACTGTGACAATTTAACTCTTTGTGGCTCCCAAAGCATCTTAAAACTTTGCCTCAAAGGTTGTAGAACTACTGGAACTCATGTTTTATACAGCTTTCCTTTACTCAGTACAATCTTTTCATTAGAAAAAAAGATTGTAAAACTCCTTTCAAAAACTCCTCCCTGTTGGCTCTTATCAGTGCATTGCCTCCCCCAACAGCCTTGGCATGAAATGGCCTTGGGCCTCTCAGGACCTCAGTAAATCAGTACTGTGTTTTAATAACTTTGGTAAATGCAACATGTTGTTACTGTTAATACTCATTCCATTGTTCCCAGTCCCATTTCAATATGTGATCCAAAGAAGGGAGGTGCCAGAGGTTCCCAGGCAGGAACTGGTGTATCTTTTTTTTTTTTAAAAGCCCCAGCATGCCTGCAGCACAAAAATAAGGTTAACCTAATTCTTCACAATGACAGAATTCATTTATTTCATTGAAAAGTAACTTTTAAAAAGTGATTAAAAATAAAGTGATGAAACATCATTATTGGGTCAACAATGTAAGAAGGTGAAGGGCCCTTAAGGGTAATTACTTCTTTCTATATTTTGCAGTGCATTTAATGAGAACGTATTACTTCTATAAACAAAAACCTCAAACCATTTTTAAGCACATCAAAAGGCTACTTTCCAACTTTAGTACTCCTAATCCACAACATAAAGAGTCTTCCCAGTATTCTGAAAAA